ATGAAGATTCTAACACTAGTTATACACACACACACACACACACACACACACACACACATATATATATATATATATATGCCGTGTTCATTATCCCAAGACGAAAGTTAGAAAAGGACTCCACAACCTCCCTGGCCAACCTGTGCCAGTGCTTGATCACTCTCACATTAAGCAAGTGTTTTATAATGAGGGAGCCTCCTGTGTTTCAGTTTGTGCCACTTGCTTCTGATCCTGTCCCTGAGCACTACTGAGAAGAGCCTGCCTCCGTTCCCTTTGCACCCTCCCTTCACATACATGTAGATATCCCCTCAGCCTTCTCCAGGCTAAAATGTCCCAGCTCTCTCAGCTTTTCCTCACAGACGAGATGCTCCAGTCCATCATCTTCATTGCCCTTTGCTGGACTCTCTCCAGCCTGTCCATGCCTCTCTCATACTGGAGAGCCCAGAACAGGGCACAGTTCTCCAGGTGTGGCCTCACTAGCGCTGAGTAGAGGGGAAGGATCATGTCCCTCGACCTGCTAGTAATGCTTTACCTACTGCAGCCCAGGATACCATTAGTCTTCTTTGCAGCAAGGACATGTTGTTGGCTCATGTTCATCTTGGTGAATTGGTTGTCTCTGCTGTAATGGAAACATTGACAGTACTGGTTTCAGTTCTGTAAGCAGAAATTCTAGGAAATCTTTTTAGATAGCATGTTGCTTTTCAGTGATATATTGTTTAACATTGAAGATGAAATCTGTAAACCAACTGTAGAAAAATCCTAAACTTGTCCTGTTATCCTGACGGAACAATAAACATACAGAAGTTCTGAGATTATGGTTTCTTTCAAATGTAAGCAACTTAATACAAACCACCATTCATTTCCACCTTTACCAGAAACAACAGATACTATGATATTACAGAGGTATGAATTTATTGAGCAGTGACTTAAAATTCTGTGTGTCAAAGTCACATGTGCTGTGGTTTTACCTAGAGTTTCCTGAATGGAGTGCATCTTTCCTTTTACATGTTCCAAGCCTCTGTGATCCAATAGAAATTACCTATGAAACAGAATTTCTCACTAGAACTGCAAACATCAGAACAAAAATACGTGGGGATTAATAAATGCAGCAGTATTAATAGTCAACTGCTAATTTTGATGGGTATGCATCTGATTTTAGTGGTTTTCCTATTAAATAAATCAACAACAATCAGTGAAATTGCATACACAAGAAAGCACATACTTCGCTTACATCACAAAAAATCAGAGTCTCGCTGTGAGATTATGCATGACGTGGTTTATATAGTCATATTTTTAGGATCTGTCTTGAATCTGTAAATTGATTAGGGAGCTTGGTCCTAGATATGTGCAGAGATATGTTTGTCAGCTTTTTTTTTTTGTCCCCTTTTGAAAGCAGTTAGCTAAAAGAGTATTTGAGTATTGCTTCCATATGAAAGCAGCTTCTTGTTAGCAAGGCTTAAAAATACCCCTGAAGCAATAATACATTCCACAACTTCCTTTATGATTCTTTCATGTTTACTTAAAAGGAAGGCAGAGCTGTCACTGACTCGGAGAAGCTTGAAACTGCTTTTCACTTTACTTTGTATAAGCAAAATTGTCTGCTTTCACTCTTAAACATTGGTTATGCTTATTCAATGTTAAGGTTTCTCTATTCCTTTACCTACAGATCAGAATTCTCTTTTCTTAGGCTTAAGTCATATTTTTCTTCCACCAAATGACTGACAATTGTGAACATCTAGTATTCCACTAGTCTCTTCACACACAGAACTTCAGTTCTTTAACTCACATCATCTATCAAGAAGGAAAAGGTGTGCTATAAAAGTCCGTTATTGTCCATATTTGGTATGTGAGGAGATAACATCTGATTTTTGTTATCAGCTTATACTCAGGATCGATCAGGCAAGCTTTTCCCATTATATGAAAAACAAAGTTCCCTTGCTGGTCTGTGTCTAGTTTCCTTCACAGTTCATCCTTTGGATTCATGATGATCTTGGTCCATAAGACGAGCCAGGACCCAGAGCCCTCCACCATGCATTTGCGACTGTGTGTTTGGGTGTTTGGGATTTGGAACCATTGCAGGAGTGTATGGTACAAGCACTGCTGGTGCAGCTCCCAGGCAGCAGCTCCCAGGCTGCTCTTAACACTTGCTGTCCACTTAAGTGTGCCCAGTGATGGAGCATCGGCATGAAGGGTATTAACTTCTTAGTTTAGGACCTGAACAAAAGGTCCCAGGATATTTCTTCTGTCTCACCTTGCCTGTGCTTGTAAAACATTGTGTCAGGTGTATCATCTGAAGTTTTCCATGATGCTTTCATTTTGAATATTAGCTCACCCTGTTGGATGGCTTTTGTGAACTGATATGTAGGAAATTAGTATTCTTGCTCAGAAGACCTGCAAAATAAAAGACGGAAGGCAGAATACAAACAATCTTATTTGGTGAACACAAGGTTCAGTGTAATGCAGGAAAAGTTTCAGACAATCAATCCTACCCAGTGCTAAAGATACTCTTTTAACATTTGAATAGCAAATGACTTGCTGTGATAATACAAAATATTTGTTTTAAATAGTTTTCACACATAGGTGTCATGCATGCTTTTAAGACAGATCATAGAATTCTATTTTTTGTTTTGTTTAGTAGAAGAATATTTACCTTTTCAAATGGTATGCAGCGTCACCTCAAATATCACAAATCAGATTGCTTTCAAGTTATGTTCCAAGAAGCTCTATCAGTGTATTTTTATAATGTTATAAAGCATAACTGCCATATTAAAAATAACAAACTTTGATATTATATGGTAGCCTACAGCATTATATAATCTCAATACTAATTCTGTTTTAATTATATCTATGCAGCAAATACGTTATATATATGTACATTTATTGAAGTACTGCATATTAGAAATGTGTATTTTGAAGTAATTTGAGAGACATAAACGATACAAAATGTGCAAATTTCCATCAAAAGTGAAATATTAGTATCCACAGTGATATGATACTGTAGGTACTGCAAATGCTTGTCTCTTAGATTCTGACTAGGTCCCCAAAAGCTGTGTGTCTTCTGGTTTTGATGCCCATATATTTGTTTAATTGAGTTAGAGAAGCCTTCACTTTTGCTTGCAGTCTCTTTAATATTACCAGGGAATTGTTTAGGCACTTTTTAAAGAAACAGTGGGGCAAACATATACTAGGCTGTGATGTTTTTATCCTTCTGGGAAAAGGAACAACCTTGTGGTTTTTTGGATTTTAGGTATTAAAAAGACTCTCATAGTACTTCTGTAGGCCCAAAAATATGCCAGCAGTGTCAGTGAATCAGATGGAAACAAAATAAGCTCACCAACTGAGAAAAAGATTGTTACTTGTCAGCAACTTCCTCTCCCATCACACTTGCAGCCTTCTAAAAAAAAAAAACCAAAAAAAAAACAAAACTTTTTTTTTTCAGCATTCTTGAAATACCATTATGTTTGGGTTATTCATTTTTACTACACACTCAGTTTTTCACCTATCTTAGGTCAGTTGTGTTTGCTACTGACTGCAGTGATAGTATGAGCAGATGCTAAATGATATAACAGTGATTAAAGACCTTGTTCCAGTTGCTTAACTAACATCTGGTAGAACTTTCCTACCAGAAAGCCTGCTGAGTCAGTAGAATATATCTAAAAGTCAACGTTAATGATTCAGTAAGTGTTGTTTGACTGAACTCAGATGGCTTATGAATTCTAGAAAAAAATTAGGACATTTGACTTAAAAATTTATTCCTTTTATTTTTAAGTATGCTGATTTATCACCAAAATTGAAGGCTAAGTAAGGATACCAACATAACTTGGCTGTTTAACTGAGCAGAGCTATCTTTGTTATTGTGTGTGTGGAATAACTCTGACTTACTGCTTAATATATGAGGTCTGTTAGAATTACCATGAAAGCACCTGTCATTCTGTTTTTGGGGTGGTGTGGAGGAGTTAGATCTACAAATAGTTTTGATTTTGAGAGAGCCAAGTGCCAGCACATACATCATCCATGCTCTGTTTCCCTTGATCTTGGAAAGGGTAGTGTACCTACATTTGTACATGTAAAGCTTTCTATAAAATCTCTATTGAATTTAGGTCTCTGAAAGAACAGGACACAAGCCCAATTTTTAGGTAACATACAGAAGTACATCTAATATACCTTAGTAAGTAGGTAAGTACATAACATGTCAGTACTTTACTGGCCCAAATTAGGGAATCAGGCTAGAAGTCTTAAAAAGACTGGTCAGAAGTCATTCTGATCAAACTATGGCATATTTGGTAGGTGAGACATTGTACTAAGTATTGCTGTCACTTAACATATCACTGGAGATAATCATGTAAACCCACTGAAATCTTGAAGCACTTTATAGAGCTTTTGGCCTGGAACAACTGCCAAATTGGAGGGTTAGGTAACTTATATGTGCATCCAGGTTGTTCCAGACCCTGTCCAACCTGGCCTTGAACACTGCCAGGGATGATAAAATCAGAATCAACCAGGTTTGAAAAGACCTCTAAGTTCACCAAGTCTAACCATTACCCTAGGCCTGCCAATGACCACTAAAACATGTCAGAATGGGGCATTATGGCCATTCCCTCTGCTTCAGTGGCTAGGATGCTACTTAAGAATACTGGTTGAATTGTCAGAATCAGGCAAGCTTTTAAGAAAATGGGTTTTGACATACCTTAAGATGTTCTCTTAGTTTTTGAATTCGTTTCTAACGTAAGGTAACCCTGAGCTTGTTCCCAGACTATCAACCAGGTGGCAGCAGTGCCATGTCGGAGCAGCTCCCTTTCGCTTTCCCTGACATCAAGTGTTAATACACTCGACCAATCAGTGCTAAGATGATGGTAGGTAATTGGGTAATTGTATTTTACTGATCACAAGCAGAGAAAAGAAAAGGGGGGAGGAGGCGGAAGGGGTAAAAAAAGAATTAAAAATAAATAAAAATAAATAAAAAGGGGAGAGAACAGAAGGGGGGAAGGAGGATTATACCAGAAAGACTGGCCCTGGGGCATTTGCAGATCCTAGGGTGGCACTAAGAGGTGGGGAGTCAGAGAAAGCCAAAGAGACACAGAAGCCGAGCAACTCCCAGCAGCAACAGCAGCAGCTGTCAGAACTGGATATATGCACACATGCGTACATCCATGCACAGACAGGGAGGAGAATTCAGGCTGAAGCTGATGGGAGGGAGGAAGGGTTTCATCTGTGCAAAGGGCTGTGCATTTCAGGGATGAAACTAAAAACTGAAAGAAGCGTCTGCACTGCTGATACCGTGTCATCTTGGAAGGGAGGGAGGCAGGAAAGAAGGAAGAAAAGGGGGAAGATAACTGGCATGTGGAAGAAGATGGGAGACTAACTCACTGCTGCGTGGAAGGGGAATATAGCTTGTACATCTGAAAAACACCAGGCTGAGCTTGGAAATGAGATCAGACCTGCATTGAAATAGAGAAAGGGAGGAAAAGGGAGGCTGAGACTGGAGAGCTTTTATCCATCCTGTCTCTCTTTTCCTCTCTCTCCTCGAAGATGAAATAGAAGTTTATCCGTCTCGGTGCTGCTGGATCTCTATAGCTGCTGGACAAAAGATGAAGAGGAAGCTGAAATGAAAAGCAAAGGGTGATTATGAAATTTACAGCTGAGAAGACAAATCACACCTCCCTGGGCTTCCTTTGTGCCCCACTGAGGGAGTTTTAACGTCAGAAGGATTTTGAGAAGAGATGGGGCAAGTGGGAGAGGGGGTGTTCAAAACACCTGTCCCAAGTGTTTCAAAAATAACAAGGTGATGGATTTATTGTTGACAGCTGGTGGGAACCTTGAATTTTTCTATACTCCCTCCATACCTAGTTCCATTAAATGTGAGATTATGAAAATGCAGAGGAGTTGAAGGGAAGGCGAAAGGATATAACGTGGAGTTTGAAGCAAGGCGAGGGTGCTGATGCTGTGGATTGCTGGCTTCTTGCCGAAATAAAAAATTCTATTGCGCACTGGGTTGTGATTGGAAATCTAATCAGATTTTTGGAGAGGGGGGAAGAGAGACAAAAAAGTTTATCTTTTTGACAGGTACAAATAAAAATTTAAATGCAAAAGGAGATTCTTTTCTAAAGGAGTGTGGAGGACAGAGAAAAAGAAGAATGGGAATCCCCATTTTAATGTGGAGACACAAGGACTGGATAATTGATAGTGCAGCAAAGAAAGGGGAAGAAGCACATTGCTTGGCAAGACCTGGATCTTAAGTGTCACAACAAAATTACATTAAACAAATACAGATCTAGCATTGCTTAAAAAGAAAAACAGCCCTTTCTGCTCTCCAGAGAAAAAACAAATAGTGAGCAATGGAGAGCAGCGGACCCAGAGAAGCAGAAAATCTCCGAAAAAGGAAACTAGGCAAAAAAGCCACTGTGGAATGAAAAGTTTCAGAAAGGAGGAGGACCATTCATCCTCTGCAAGGATTTTGATTTGTTTTGCCTGTTATTTTAAACCACTCTTCTCCGGTGAAGGTAAACATTGATGTTACCACTACAGCAATCCTAGGCAAAAAAGTTGAAAGCTACAGAGAAAATAAAGGACAGAAAAGAAGAAAGCAAAATTACTGGAGGGGGAAGAGTTCAGCAGCGTTGGGTTGGATTGGCACCTGTATGGACTGAAATTACTGGGAAATTGCAATTGGATATAATTCATTTTTATGTCCTTTCTTGGGTTTAATTTTGGTTTGGTTGCTGAAATGAAATAGTTTTCTAACCCTGCCCCCCACTCTGCTTTTTCTTAACCACTCAGATTTCCAGCTATGTAATCTTTGAGGATACAGTAAGTACACTTTCCTTTTTATAATATTTTGGGAAAGGACATATGCCCCATTGCCTCTCTTCTTTCTTCCTTATCCCTCTTTTCTTGGTCTTTCACCCCCAGCTGAATAAGAATTTGGCTGAATTTTGATAATGGCTGCGGGGGGGGGGGTGGGGGGGGGGGGGGGGGGGGGGGGGGGGGAGAATGAGGACAGAACTGAATTCTCACAGTAGTTCAAATGTTCCTGTTAGTAAAACTCCAGCCTTAGTAGGATGCTGCAGATGCCTGCCTGCATGGCTCTATAGCATTTGCAAATGTTCACTAGCAAAGAAATCTTTGGAGAAAACCCCTGCAGTGAGTGGGGGATGCTGTCTGATTGCCCAGTCTGTACAAAGGAATGCAAGTAGCATAGAATTGGATTCACTGAGGAGGCTGGTTTGTTTATTTAGTAAGTGTTTCAAATACAGAAAGGCTGTGATTTGAATGCTGGCATCCAGTCTGACATTGCAGATCGATATGGTGTATTAACAGGAAAAAATGATAATCAAGCACGGAGGTAAAGGATGGCTTTTGGTGGGATTGGGGGGTGTAGGGCAAAGGGTTTTCATGATTTTGAGGAGGCAGCTCTGAGAGAAATGATATGTTTTACACTTCATTGCTAAGAAAAAGTAATAACAAGCAGGGAGAAAACATTCTTGTACCGAAGGGTAGTTTAGAAAACTGTATTAGCCACTCATGCCCTCCAGATCTCTTAGGAAATTCTTTGTGATTTTGTGGTGAATCCTTCAGGTTCCCCATGGACTTTCATGGTAGTTAAAGGAGGTTTACTTGGATTGGCAAGCAGTGAGAGGATACTGTGGTATTAGGAGTTATTACATTTTATATATACATATATGTTATTATGCTGATAATGCTGATTATGCTGATAATTAAAATCATTAAAAGTGGCTTGTAGATGGTGAGGTTCACAAATAAGAAATGATGTGTAACAGACCTGTAAATGCCTCTGCCTTTCCTTCTTGGAGAAATGTGGTGTGCAGATGTGGAATAAAGGGAAGATACCACGGTGCTTCAGAGGTCTTTGTTTTCCCATGGGGAAGAGTGCTACTTCTGTCCCCTCTCCTGACATGACTGCTTACCCTGTAAATGGGGAGTTTTCTTTCTCTTTCTTTCCTTTCTCTCCTCCCTCACTTCTGCTCTTCTCAACCTTTGCCTTCACATGCACAGTCTCTAACTGAAAGTCTTAGGCCGAACCTGATGGAGAACAAGAGAGAGAAATAGGTAACTAAATGAGCTATGGAGCAGATCTGGATATTTTTTGGCAGGCAATGTGCAGAACTAGCTTTGCCACTGATTTTACTTTCCCCAAGCTGCAATATTCTGGAGGAGGGGAGAGAATGCAGGGATGGGAAAGGTGTTAGTAGAGCTGTATTTTAACATTTTTTTTTGGCAGCATTTCCCTTTCCACAAGCTTCCTGCATGAAACCACACAAACCAGAGTTCCAGCTTCCCTAGATAAATACATAAATATTAGCATATTCTTTTTTCCCACCTTTACCCACACATTAACACTACTGCTACTTCGTGTAAATGTCCTGAATCTTTTAGCATGATGGAAAAGAGACCTGCTTCCCAAATGTGTCCCATGAACTTCTGTTTGGAGGTCATGCCTCTTAAACATTGGCTACTTGTAAAGGATTAAGATTTAGGGCTCAATTCTGCTCCCACAGAAATTTCTGGGGATTTTTCTTTGGCTACACAAACAAATTGGACCCTTTGTGCTGTTGTGTGTAGAAAAAGAAGGGAGCAGACAAAGCAAAAAATTGTTCCTCCAACTCCAATTGCTCTCATCTTTCTCAATATAGCTAGATCAGTTTAATATGAAGTGCTTTGGCTTCATTTATTTATCTGGGCATTTATTTTCTGATGGAACACTAAATGGGTAATAAGTTTGTCAGCATCTGAAAATAAGTGTGAAACTCTGGTCTCCATTCCTTCATGCATCATTATAGGTCTGTGCCCTGTTGTGGGCTACGCTTACATCAGCAGTTGCAGTAACAGAGCAGCTAAATTTGTGTCAAACTGCTGCTCAGTAATTACTGAAGGAAAAAGAAGTTGGCTAAGGAAAAGGCATCTCCAAGCTTTTCCCTGGATTCCCGTCAAGTGAACACATAAACAATAGATTTGATAGAGCAACTCCTATTTTGACAATGGAAAGCTTCCATAGGTGCCTCACTTAATTTGGTGCAATAACTAACAGGAGGATTTGCTTGATGAGGTAAGGAAGCACTGGGAAAATTTACCCGCCAGTTTGGCCTGAAATAGGCAAACCTTGTTGACATCAAGAAGCTAAGGATGCTTGTCTGCTTCTAAAGAGGCAACAGTTTCACACTTCAGTGAATCATTCATTCAATACAGTAGCCAAAAGATGCATGGAACAGCCCAGAGTTTAACTCATTCAGTCTCAAGGATGGAACGAGTGTGGCAAAGTGGGAATGAACATAGTATTTCTCAGAATTTGTGCTGGGGCTTATCCAGAGCCCAAAGGGCTGACCATAAACAAAACAGCCAAGAAGTCAATCTAACTGTCCAGTTGAAGGAGGAACAGCAAATTTCCTCAATTGTATGCAACAGCTGGCTACTCCCCTCTACTGTGCCTGAGCACAGGTTTATCATCCAGCAATATATGCTGGTCCTCTGGGTTGTCTCCTCTTCATATCAGTGACTATCCTTTTGGTAATGACCGCAGGAGCTGGCATTTTGGCACTGTAAACAGAACCATTATGTGTATATTTAGGCACCAAATGCTTGTACAGAAGAGAAAACTGCATTGAAGGGGGTTGCCCCATTAGTTCTAACTTTTTCTCCAGAAGGTCAGAGATTCTTGTCAAACTGTAAGTTAGTAATGCAATGGGGCAGCTACTCAGTGTCTTTTAACATGTCAAGAATGACTTGCATTGATCTAGAATAGTGGCAGGTTCAGTTTTCTGGAGCAACAACTTTTATGTCACAGTATCTCCCAGCCTGATAAGCACTGATGAGTGAAAAATACACTTTCAGATTGGGTAATATCCATGAAAGAATGCTCTAGATGTGAGCCAGTACGAGCAATAATGTGGTACTGAAGGAAAAGAAGGGGATTCCTGAGGTACTTATATGGCTTCCTACATATAGGCTTTAAAATTATTTACCTGTGACTTAGAAAAACATCTCCCATTTGACATGAAGATTCTTGCAGTAGCAATATGAGACAGGATGGTTTTGGATGGGTCTCAGGACAGGATTTTAGCACATTTTCAGAGACCTTTGTGCTGGTGGAAACTCCCAAGCCACGCTACCAAAGAGTGAAGCTGCAGTATATTCACTGGAGTGCAGTGTGCACAGCAACAGTGTGCAAGAAACTCCACCTTGGTCTTGATAATGTGCCTTCACTTTGGCTTGGGGACATCCCTTTGCTCCTGATTGCTAACGAGGGAACAAGGAGAGGGAGAAAGGTGCTGGAATTAGTGTCATTTGCAGTCTGGGAGGAAAATGACTCTGAAAAAAAATGCAATTAGCACCCTCCAGGTCATTTCTAGAGTAGTCAAGCTTACTGGACTTTGGGCTACTATTAGCAGGGCCCCTCTTTCTGCATCCCTATCCATCCTGTAGCCAGCTGCTCTATGAAAATCATAATGAAAAACGAACTTTCTTCAGCTATAAAGTGCTGCCCCCACAGGACAACCCAGATGAGAAGAATTTAGTAACAGCAGGAGCCATGGTGTTCTGGAAACAGCCTTGTAGCATGCTTGAGCCTAACAGTGTGGATCCTTGGAAAGGATCCTGCCTCCGCTTTCTGTAGTGGCAGAAGACATTGAGGTTTGGCTTCTGATGCTTTGGAGTGCTTTAATTTAAAGAATCATAGAATGATTTGAGTTGGAAGGGACCGTAAAGATCATCTAGTTCCACCCCCCAAATTATTTTATGATAACATCCCTGTTATTAAATGATGCTATTGAGAAAGGAAGGATACCAGTTATTTAGCTGTACTGTCACAGTCACCTCAAAATCTCTTATCTTGGGAGATAGAAATAGGGATATAAGAGGGAGGATTAGTGTGCTGGTGGTACGTTTTAATTGATATTCACAAGCTTCAGTACATGGAAGTGAATTAATGTGCAGCTCCTGGTAGGAGGCCTGGGTACTTCTCTCTCTGTTAGAGGAAAAGTCAAAAATCAGACACTTGTGCATGCACACAGTAAAAGAGAATTGGGATTTACATTTGGTATCCAAGGAAGTGAAAGCAGAATACGAGAGCAGAACACTGCAGGGCTTTCTGTCCATTGTTTAAATGTTGCCATAGCAATATCTCAGGGCACAAGTTACATGTTTTCCATTTCTGGAGTTGAGATTTTTTTCTCTTCTCCCTTTCTGTTTTTTTTCTCTCTCTTGATATACACAACCACTAGGGGTATTTCCACAGAACTTTGCCCAGCAATAGGAAAAGGTGTTTGAAGGCTGCCTTATCAGTTTGCATGTGTCTGTTATTCCCTGTCACTTGCTAATATGCTGGAACCTAATTAGGAGGAAATTCTTGGATAGAAAAAGAGTGTGAGGCTTTTGCTGTTAGGACATCGAATATATTACAATATTTTGTGTAGTGGTGCTATTTTAATTGGATAGCTGCAGGCAAGCAAAGTGTAGCAGTCACTGGCAATTAGAAACAACAGTGAACTTTCTGGTACTGAATCTATACCTTGGGCAGATTAAAATGCATTTCAGGTACATAGCAGAGCTTCTGTAAATTTAAATACTATCACCACTGTAAGAACCCTTGAAATTCTGTTTCTATAGTGCTGAAACAAGATTTACCTTTTGATGCTTGGGAAAGAGAGGGAGGCATCATTAGACCACTAAATAAAATCTCCCATAGTATTTGCTGCAGAGCTTGTACTTGGTATGTCAGGACTGTGGGGGAGCAATATAACCAAGAAAAAAGGAAAACTTAAAAGGAAACCATAAAACAATGCAAAAGAACTCCA